CAGTATGTAAATACAGCATAGCAGTCAAATGAATCTTGAAGTAGTATGGAAATCAGTGACTAATATTCTCTATTTTTCAACATTTTAATGTAATTCTTATGAAGAGAGAAAATGGAAAGATATGAAACATCATTATCCATGATTTCTTTTAGATCACTATACTAACTGAGTCAGTAAGAATTAAAATTAAAATATTAAAAACATTGTGTATGCTTGTGACTTTATTAAATTGATTGTATAAAATTTAGTATTTTATACAATGGTAAAAGCAAACATAAATGTTAACAAAATAAAAAGAATTAAAAAAACGGGAGCAGGGTAAGTGACTGAATAAAAAAAAAGACCGAAGAAAGAAAAGTAAGAAAAAAGAATATACATAAAAGATCAGTTCCAATCTTCTTTACAGCAGTTACAAAATATTTACCTTCTATCCTCCTTCAAAGTTAAAGCATAATTCTTTTCTTCCCATATCTTCCCTTTCTAATCATCAACTCCATAAATCACCACTTCATTGTTTTCCAGTTTTCAGCGAAAAGTTCATAAAGGGTTTCCAGTCACTCATAATTGTACTTGTCTTCTCTCTGATCAAACAAGTAAGTTTTGCCATTTCTGCAAATTCATCGTCTTCACTAACCACTCCTCTATCGTGGATAAAATATTTCCAACTTTGTACATATACTTATCTACTTATCTGCAGTTACTATGCACAAAAATGATCTTCCACAAGTCTTTTCCAGTTAGCTATCCGTAAGTTCCAACAGCCAATGCACTGTTTTTGACAATTTGGCACAAGGTAATCAATAATAGTTTCCTAAAAGGGAACAGCATAATCAGTACATATGTGGCATATTGTAGCCATTTCCATTCTGGCATACTCCAGATATGTGTAATATCCTGAATTCCAAGCCAACATTTGTTTAATTCAAGGCAAAGATAGATGGCTGTATTAGAATGCTATTCATCAGTCCTTAAACCACCAGAGAAGTATATTGTCAGAATATTGGTGAGAGGAAATGCCCACAGCCACCTCTTCAGCTATTCTAATGAAATATGCCATACGGGGAAAGCTTGTTGGGAAAATAGAGAAAACATTATTTTAAAACTAGAACATCTGCAGACAACTTTAAGCTGGCTTAGATGTAGGCAGAGAAGAAAATGAAAGCAGTATTTTGAATATCTGTCAGAATTAATACTGGGGCAGGTTCATTTAAGAAAACGTGAGGATGAACTGTTTTTGAAATAATTAGTTGTGCACTATTTGATAATCATAGTGTGCAATTATTACAAGCCCACTGCAAGGTTTTGTGAGGAAGCAGATGTATACCACACAAATTTAACACTGTCTTCTAGGTAACCATTCTGATGCATTACATTTCAAGCAACAGGTACCAAACAGGGAATCACTTACTAAGAATGATTGTGCATGACAGTTATTTTAAAAGGCTTTGCATTACAGCAAGAGAAGGTCTGCGAAATTCTGTACCAAAATGGTTCCAGTGATTTATATAATTAAATAACATATAAAGGGTATTACGTTTCTCAAAACCTGGAGCCTTGGGGATTTTGCTGTGATATGCAGAGAAGAAAGAACTACTAAATCCACCAAACATCATAGAAATTGCAAGTTCAAATTCTGAATGGCCATAGAAACAAGATGGATCAAAGACAATTGGTCCATAGTCATCTTCAGCTACATTTCCTGACCACAGGTCACCATGAACAAGTGCAGGAATTATTTCCAAATCATGAAACATTTCTGGAACCTTGGGCTGTTAAAAAATCATAAAAACACATAGTTTGAAAAGTGGCCAAAGATTTTATTTTTACTGAGGAAATTACAAGGCAAATAGCAGAATATACATACAGATTCTAAATGTTATTTTTAATTTTTTAACCTTAGTTTTACAAACTGGATATATTACAAATTTTGTTGCTTTTAGTGGCAGTGTTGGGTTTCTCACTATGACTTAGCCTAATAAGATGAAATAGATAGGGTTGGATTTTTTTTAATACTTGGGATACTCAATACTTGAGTATCTTTTATTTGATTTCAGAATGTTTTTTGATTCAGTATCTTTTATTTGATTTCAGAATGTTTTTAGATCACAGGCTATTGAGAGACAGAGAGAAAGAGGCAGAGAGAGAATGAACAAAAGAAAGAACAAAATCAGTTTTTTTAAAAAATGCAAATAATATCAAAATTAGTACAGTTGTATGAAATGCAGTTCCATATTATGAATAGAACAGGATGATTAGGTAAAGATGGCAGGGTTGAAGAACTAAAAGGAAACTGACACTAGGTTCAAACATAACACTTCAATATTGTTCCATTAAAATTAACTAACTGACTGACTTTATATAATATTTCATATCATCATGATTTACATTTCCCAAAGACTGAATTCACCCATATGGAAAGTCAGCAACAAGCCACATAATGGCTTAGTACAGTGTGGTCTCAAACATCACAAAAGTTTAGGATAGTCCAAGTTTGGGCTCTCCTTTCAGTTAAGAAGTTTCAGTTCTGATTTATCTACACCCATTTCTTATATTTCATTTTTATGATGGGGCTGAAAAGAAATAAAAATTACATCCAAGTCATCCCAAAAGGATTGTATAGCAATCAAATCGTAGCTAGAAAAAAGAGCAGCAGATAAATGAAACTATAAATAGATCTTTTTCTTGGGAAAAAATATCATTGCTATAAAAAATGCTGGTAGAATTATTACAGTCAGAAATGCTCTATTGATTTTTAGCTTTTGCAGAGGCAAGTACTCTGATATTTTCATTTGCTTTAATGTAACATTCAAACATGTTATTCCTACCTTTAGCTGTTCCCACAACTCTCTTGCTGTTCTGTCTCCATAATCTCTTTCTATTAAATCCATTTGGGCTTGGAGGCGGTGTCGAATAAAAAAAGTAGGCCAGTCATTCTGCCATTCATTGACCTGCAAAATAAAACTAGTGGAAAAATGATGCTATGAACTTATCAACTACAGTATAACATCCCCTTCTTTGAACACTTTTGTGGCAATTGCAAAATTCCAGTCACAATGTCCCTTAGCAAAACATGAATAAAAAAATTCCATACTCTGTTTACAAAAATAAAATATTGTATGGCCAGTTAAGATGCTAGAAGTAATGTTGGGCTTTGGATGCAGTTCACAAAACAAAATGATTGCAACTACAGTATTTTTCGGAGTATAAGACGCACCTGAGTATAAGATGCACCAAGGTTTTGAAGAAGCAATTTTTTTAAAAAAGTAGGTAGATAGATAGAGGGAGAGAGAGAGAGAGAAATACAGTAGGGAGGAAGAGAGAGAGTGTGAGTAGCTAGGTAGGTAGGTAGATAAAGGGATAGAAAGAGAGAAAAGTAGGTAGGTAGGTAGGTAGGTAGGTAGGTAGGTAGGTAGGTAGGTAGGTAGATACATAGAAATAGAAAGAGAGAAATACAGTAGATAGGTAGGGAGAGAGAGTAGGTAGGTAGATAAAAGGAGAGAGAGAGAGAGAAAGAAACAGTAGGTAGGTAGGGGGGACAGAGAGGGTAGGTAGGTAGGNTGAATATTTATTCAGTATGTAAATACAGCATAGCAGTCAAATGAATCTTGAAGTAGTATGGAAATCAGTGACTAATATTCTCTATTTTTCAACATTTTAATGTAATTCTTATGAAGAGAGAAAATGGAAAGATATGAAACATCATTATCCATGATTTCTTTTAGATCACTATACTAACTGAGTCAGTAAGAATTAAAATTAAAATATTAAAAACATTGTGTATGCTTGTGACTTTATTAAATTGATTGTATAAAATTTAGTATTTTATACAATGGTAAAAGCAAACATAAATGTTAACAAAATAAAAAGAATTAAAAAAACGGGAGCAGGGTAAGTGACTGAATAAAAAAAAAGACCGAAGAAAGAAAAGTAAGAAAAAAGAATATACATAAAAGATCAGTTCCAATCTTCTTTACAGCAGTTACAAAATATTTACCTTCTATCCTCCTTCAAAGTTAAAGCATAATTCTTTTCTTCCCATATCTTCCCTTTCTAATCATCAACTCCATAAATCACCACTTCATTGTTTTCCAGTTTTCAGCGAAAAGTTCATAAAGGGTTTCCAGTCACTCATAATTGTACTTGTCTTCTCTCTGATCAAACAAGTAAGTTTTGCCATTTCTGCAAATTCATCGTCTTCACTAACCACTCCTCTATCGTGGATAAAATATTTCCAACTTTGTACATATACTTATCTACTTATCTGCAGTTACTATGCACAAAAATGATCTTCCACAAGTCTTTTCCAGTTGGCTATCCGTAAGTTCCAACAGCCAATGCACTGTTTTTGACAATTTGGCACAAGGTAATCAATAATAGTTTCCTAAAAGGGAACAGCATAATCAGTACATATGTGGCATATTGTAGCCATTTCCATTCTGGCATACTCCAGATATGTGTAATATCCTGAATTCCAAGCCAACATTTGTTTAATTCAAGGCAAAGATAGATGGCTGTATTAGAATGCTATTCATCAGTCCTTAAACCACCAGAGAAGTATATTGTCAGAATATTGGTGAGAGGAAATGCCCACAGCCACCTCTTCAGCTATTCTAATGAAATATGCCATACGGGGAAAGCTTGTTGGGAAAATAGAGAAAACATTATTTTAAAACTAGAACATCTGCAGACAACTTTAAGCTGGCTTAGATGTAGGCAGAGAAGAAAATGAAAGCAGTATTTTGAATATCTGTCAGAATTAATACTGGGGCAGGTTCATTTAAGAAAACGTGAGGATGAACTGTTTTTGAAATAATTAGTTGTGCACTATTTGATAATCATAGTGTGCAATTATTACAAGCCCACTGCAAGGTTTTGTGAGGAAGCAGATGTATACCACACAAATTTAACACTGTCTTCTAGGTAACCATTCTGATGCATTACATTTCAAGCAACAGGTACCAAACAGGGAATCACTTACTAAGAATGATTGTGCATGACAGTTATTTTAAAAGGCTTTGCATTACAGCAAGAGAAGGTCTGCGAAATTCTGTACCAAAATGGTTCCAGTGATTTATATAATTAAATAACATATAAAGGGTATTACGTTTCTCAAAACCTGGAGCCTTGGGGATTTTGCTGTGATATGCAGAGAAGAAAGAACTACTAAATCCACCAAACATCATAGAAATTGCAAGTTCAAATTCTGAATGGCCATAGAAACAAGATGGATCAAAGACAATTGGTCCATAGTCATCTTCAGCTACATTTCCTGACCACAGGTCACCATGAACAAGTGCAGGAATTATTTCCAAATCATGAAACATTTCTGGAACCTTGGGCTGTTAAAAAATCATAAAAACACATAGTTTGAAAAGTGGCCAAAGATTTTATTTTTACTGAGGAAATTACAAGGCAAATAGCAGAATATACATACAGATTCTAAATGTTATTTTTAATTTTTTAACCTTAGTTTTACAAACTGGATATATTACAAATTTTGTTGCTTTTAGTGGCAGTGTTGGGTTTCTCACTATGACTTAGCCTAATAAGATGAAATAGATAGGGTTGGATTTTTTTTAATACTTGGGATACTCAATACTTGAGTATCTTTTATTTGATTTCAGAATGTTTTTTGATTCAGTATCTTTTATTTGATTTCAGAATGTTTTTAGATCACAGGCTATTGAGAGACAGAGAGAAAGAGGCAGAGAGAGAATGAACAAAAGAAAGAACAAAATCAGTTTTTTTAAAAAATGCAAATAATATCAAAATTAGTACAGTTGTATGAAATGCAGTTCCATATTATGAATAGAACAGGATGATTAGGTAAAGATGGCAGGGTTGAAGAACTAAAAGGAAACTGACACTAGGTTCAAACATAACACTTCAATATTGTTCCATTAAAATTAACTAACTGACTGACTTTATATAATATTTCATATCATCATGATTTACATTTCCCAAAGACTGAATTCACCCATATGGAAAGTCAGCAACAAGCCACATAATGGCTTAGTACAGTGTGGTCTCAAACATCACAAAAGTTTAGGATAGTCCAAGTTTGGGCTCTCCTTTCAGTTAAGAAGTTTCAGTTCTGATTTATCTACACCCATTTCTTATATTTCATTTTTATGATGGGGCTGAAAAGAAATAAAAATTACATCCAAGTCATCCCAAAAGGATTGTATAGCAATCAAATCGTAGCTAGAAAAAAGAGCAGCAGATAAATGAAACTATAAATAGATCTTTTTCTTGGGAAAAAATATCATTGCTATAAAAAATGCTGGTAGAATTATTACAGTCAGAAATGCTCTATTGATTTTTAGCTTTTGCAGAGGCAAGTACTCTGATATTTTCATTTGCTTTAATGTAACATTCAAACATGTTATTCCTACCTTTAGCTGTTCCCACAACTCTCTTGCTGTTCTGTCTCCATAATCTCTTTCTATTAAATCCATTTGGGCTTGGAGGCGGTGTCGAATAAAAAAAGTAGGCCAGTCATTCTGCCATTCATTGACCTGCAAAATAAAACTAGTGGAAAAATGATGCTATGAACTTATCAACTACAGTATAACATCCCCTTCTTTGAACACTTTTGTGGCAATTGCAAAATTCCAGTCACAATGTCCCTTAGCAAAACATGAATAAAAAAATTCCATACTCTGTTTACAAAAATAAAATATTGTATGGCCAGTTAAGATGCTAGAAGTAATGTTGGGCTTTGGATGCAGTTCACAAAACAAAATGATTGCAACTACAGTATTTTTCGGAGTATAAGACGCACCTGAGTATAAGATGCACCAAGGTTTTGAAGAAGCAATTTTTTTAAAAAAGTAGGTAGATAGATAGAGGGAGAGAGAGAGAGAGAAATACAGTAGGGAGGAAGAGAGAGAGTGTGAGTAGCTAGGTAGGTAGGTAGATAAAGGGATAGAAAGAGAGAAAAGTAGGTAGGTAGGTAGGTAGGTAGGTAGGTAGGTAGGTAGGTAGGTAGATACATAGAAATAGAAAGAGAGAAATACAGTAGATAGGTAGGGAGAGAGAGTAGGTAGGTAGATAAAAGGAGAGAGAGAGAGAGAAAGAAACAGTAGGTAGGTAGGGGGGACAGAGAGGGTAGGTAGGTAGGTAGGTGGAGAGAAAGAAATATATAGAGAGAAATACAATAGACAGGTAGGGAGAGAGAGAGTAGATAGGTAAGTAGATAGATAAAGGGATAGAGAGAAATAGAGAGAGAGAGAAAAAAATGCAGTAGGTAGGTAGGGACAAAGAGAGTGTGTAGGTAGGTAAGTAGGTAGGGAGGTAGGGGGATAGAGAGATAGAAATAGAGATAGAGAGAAATACAGTAGATAGGTAGGGAGAGAGAGTAGGTAGGTAGATAAAAGGAGAGAGAGAGAGAGAAAGAAACAGTAGGTAGGTAGGGGGGACAGAGAGGGTAGGTAGGTAGGTAGGTGGAGAGAAAGAAATATATAGAGAGAAATACAATAGACAGGTAGGGAGAGAGAGAGTAGATAGGTAAGTAGATAGATAAAGGGATAGAGAGAAATAGAGAGAGAGAGAAAAAAATGCAGTAGGTAGGTAGGGACAAAGAGAGTGTGTAGGTAGGTAAGTAGGTAGGGAGGTAGGGGGATAGAGAGATAGAAATAGAGATAGAGAGAAATACAATAGACAGGTAGGGAGAGAGAGAGTAGATAGGTAAGTAGATAGATAATGGGATAGAGAGAAATAGAGAGAGAGAGAAAAAAATGCAGTAGGTAGGTAGGGACAAAGAGAGTGTGTAGGTAGGTAAGTAGGTAGGGAGGTAGGGGGATAGAGAGATAGAAATAGAGA